CCCACAACTATTTGAGAGTACTTATTCTTTCTTACTCACTATGAGGCCTATAAATCTTTGCACAATTGCAAAACATTCTCAACTTCATTCCAGTGATCTACATCTGGACTGGACTTCTGCCAAAAACATCCCGGATACATGAACTGTGTAAGGGTAAGTTCTTGCTTATAAGCATTCAGTAAGCTTCCAACAGCTGAAGCATATAGGACGTCCATTTGATCGATCTCACATTTATTCTTGGAACACTGAAAGTTCCGAAAACTATTACCCTTGACTATGGAACAGGCGCAGGTTTATTCACGTATATCCTTTATTTCTTTAGAATCTTCTCTAAGTATACACTTGAGATAGTTCTAATACCCATTTTCCTTTTATCTCGGTAAGTTCCAATTCCTGGAACGAATGATGCTTTACCAAGACCATTCTCATTGAAACTTGAGGACAAGAACTGCTTCTTCTCCAACGGTAGTTTAACACCACTACTAGTGAGTAAGGTGCTACCCACATGCAGGATTAGGAAAATAAATTTTCCATGTTTAAACTTTGCATAAATACAATTGTCCTCTACATTCTCTTTAAAATCCAAACTTTCTTATTGTACTGTCAAACTTCAAGAATCACTGTCTTGAAGCTTGCTTTAATCCATAAATGGATTTCTTTAGGCAACATCCCTTTACGTTCTTTTCCTTCCACGACAAAACCTTTTGAGTTATGTCATGTAAACGTTTCCATACAAATCCTCGTTGAGGAATGTGTCTTTACATCCTTCTGATGTAACTGTAAATCGTAATGTGCCACTAATACCATTATGATTCTAAAAGAATCCTTGCATGCTCATTATAATCTATTCTTTCTCTTTATGTAAATCATTTCACCACAAGTGGCGCTTTATTGCTTTCCATATTCTCTTTGGGTATCTTTCTATATTCCCTTTGGAGTCACCTTTGTCATGTAGACCCATTATAGCCTACTATTTTTGCTCCATGAGGAATTTCTTCTTAGTCACCAGAAATATCTGATTTTCTTATTCTTTGAGACCTTCTAGGGCCTCGTGGCACTTCTTTCATATGGGGCTATTGTTACTCTTCATTGCCAAAAGGCAATTGTTCTATAGCCTCCTGTATCACAAAATCCTTGTTTACTTATTCATCCTCTTTAAGAGCTAACATCTGGTGTTGTATATGTCATACAACATCAACATGTATTAAGCAATTTGTTGCTCTAAACACTGTAGTGGATATGTAATCCCACTTCTATCCAAGCTTTAGGTATCTACATACCATGCTCCCCCAGATTACTCCATCTTCAGTAAAGATGGTGTATCTTCAAATTTCTTATTTTGGATTTAATCTGCTAAAAACTCATATGGCGTCATCCAGTATAAATACTAGCTGACTATACTATCTTCCTATCGGAACTATAAAAAAGGTCCAGGAATTTAGCTATTTCTTTACTTTAGGGGTATCGTTATTATGACCGTCTTACTCCCTCAACGATCACAATCATCTTTTATAGACCACTTTTACCTTCAATGCATAGTGTGCATTGCTTATCTGAAGTATGGGGAAGTATCTTTCTTAATCTTACATTTCTCCCCCTCGAAATATGGTATGAACTTTTCTACCACAATTTCGAAACATTCAGAACTCTTGTGAATGAGGAAACTTTGATTACTTACTTCATTCACATGATTACATCATGCAAACAAAATTCGTATGGGAGTATATTTTCCTCATTACACTTCAAAACTCAACATAGTCAATTATTATCAATACTTCTGCAAGTCACACTTGCATATCATTCTTATCTCTTGGTTCACATGCAACTTTCTTTTGTTCTCAAACTCATTGAGTACTTATGACCATGACACAATCAGAGTGTACGGTAAATGCTAGAATAGCATAAGAGCTATCCCAAACTTCTCTCCATGTGCGGGATATTTCTTTAGAGCATATGAATCATCACATCCTCCTCCCGCCATGCGGGTATTTTCTCAAATTTTTTCCCGCCATGCGGGTACTATCACAAACTTTTCCGCCATGCGAGATAGTTCTCTTGAACAAATATAATTGCCAGGATTGGCTCGTGTTCAATCATCAAATTCAGAAATAAATCCGAATATTCTTTAACACACATGTTTAATCCAATGTTAGTCAAATTAAACATGTATATGACTTTTTACAACTCTCATAAGTGAAACTGAAAATAAATTCTTCTCCACAGAGAGTACATAAAAGACATTTCTCAATAAAGACTCTCATTTATCTATCTCTTTTCTTGGATCAATATCCTAGAATTCTTTTCTTTTGAAGCCATTCTTTAAAGAGAACACAGTCTCTTAACCAATGGCATTCTTTCATACATAGCTTGCCCTTGGTCATTTCATCATCTGAGTCACAAGTACCCAGCTCATTTCTCTTACTGCCTTCAAGAATGAAAGCATGGAGGTCTTTTGTCTGAAAAATATTCAACAATAATGCTCATTAAACTTTAAAAACTTTATGTTATATTCTATATCACCGTTGGGCAGAAATAGAATAAAACATCATTATTCTACATTAATTCCACATCACCGTTGGACAGAAATGGAATTAACGTATAGAAATTCAATAATCTTAAAAGCATAGAACTGCTCCTCAAAATTAAATTCTCCCGTTGGTTCGAATTTAATTAGAAGACAATCAACTTCATTGCAGCGGAAATATGAAAATACATTTCTCTAGTTTAAGAGCATTCCTTGATCTTTATCTTTTCTCTGAAAAATTGGTCACTTTGATGCAAAATTCATCAGAGATTTAAACTTTAAACATAAAACTCATAGAATTATAATATTGTTATCATCAATGTTGGTCAGAAAATAACAATATCATAATTCAACTTTAACCTTAAACTCATAAATAAACTTATAATATTGTTATCATTAACGTTGGTCAGAAAATAACAATATTATAATTTATCTTAACTATCAACCGACTATTCCTCCAATTAAAATTTTTCAGCTGATTCTAATTTTAACTGGAGGATAAACTTTTCATCATTTACTGAATAACTATAACTACTCTTCAAATTAGAAGACAATAAACCTTCAACTTTGCAGTGGAAACTTGACAAAATTTCTTTTCCTACTTTTCAGAAGCATTTTTACTTTACTCATCTGTTCTCTAAACAAATTATCACGTTGGATCAAATTTGAGTAGAGATAAAACATTTAAACTTAACTTTATTCATTCAAAATAGCTTCTGAAAAATAAAATAAAATGATAAACTGAAAACTCTCCTTCTTGTTCATTTGGCCCGGAGGCCTGCTTGGCCCGAAGGCCTGATCGCTTGTCCGGCCCAGCAGCCGCTCGCGCAGCGCGCACCCGCGCCCAGGCCGCAACCTGGGCCTGGGCCGGGAAAGTGGCATCCCGCCTAGGCCGCTTTCGACCCGACCGTTCTCAGCCGTCGATGGAGATCGGACGGCCGTCCGCGCCCAGCGGAGGATCAAAAGGCACCAGCAGCCGCCGTTCCCCTGAAAACCCTAGTTCAATTATGTCTTCCTTTCTCTCCCTCCGCTCTTCTCACGCCACCGGCAAGCCGCCGCAAGGGAGCTCGACGTATCGGTGCTAGGAAAAGAGCGTTCGGCGGGAGAGGATGGCGCCGCCGTGAGGCCCTTCGCCGGTGCACGCGTGCGGCTGCGCGCGGCCCCGTCGAATGGCCTTGCGACCGGCGCCCTTTTGGTTCGAGTTCGCGCGCGCGCGCGAGCACAAGACAGCAGCGGCGTGGCTCCCTGATCTGGACCGGCGGTGAGCTCGCATAGGAGATCGGCAGCGCCGTCGGGCCTCTTTCTCCCCGCGCGATGGCGGTTGCGACGGCGACGAGAGAACCAGGTAGGTCCCTCCCCTCCGTCCATCTCTCTGTGTTCATTTAGGGTTAGGGTTAGGGTTACGGGTACCCCTCCCCTTTCTCTCTATTCTTTGCTTTTCCTGTCCCCAATCTAGATCTATGAACTAGACTGGGATTTTAGTGTTTAGATTCCTCTTTCTTGATCCATTGTTAATTACTTTGAATCATCTACTTCTCTGTTTTTCTTTCTATTTCTTTCCCCAAGATCTGGTCGCGGGTTTAGGGTTCGGATCAAGCAGTCTTGAAGCCGAGCCCCTTCCGTTTTCACCCAGCTAGGGTTTAGGGTTCGATGAACCCTTTGTTTTTCTTTTCTTTCGATCCAAATCGGATCTAGCTCCGTTCTGTTCTTTTCTTAGCCCCGATCTAGATCCACATACGGCCATACTAAACCTGGCTTTGATACCATTGTTAGATCCTTTGGGACCATCTAGGAGTGGATCCAGTGGGGTTTCATTGGGTTTCTCGTAGTAATGGTGTGAACAGAGAGAGACAGAGAGGGAGAGAAAGAGCTAGGGTTAGGTACTGACCATCCATTGAGTAGGGGATCCGGCCATCAGGTTTATCGGTGAAGTTCTGCGCTAGGCAGCGACGGTCGGTGAAGAGAGCGACGCGGTGAAGACCGTGGTGGCACAGTGCAGTGGCGGCGGCGGTGCTTCCCGTCACTGGCTGCGCCCCTCTGTTAGATCGGAGTAGGGTTTCTAGGTGGGGCGTACGGCTCAGGCGAACCTCGTACCGAGAGCCGTCGACCCCACCTCTATTTAATGCGCAGTGTAACGGGGGCCCGCCAGCCATAGATGGACTGGGCGCCCCCGATCAGGGCGCGAGGTCAAGGCCCAAGTGGCCGTTGGGCCACTGTGGTTGGGAGATCAAACCAACAGGACGCACTTCTAGGCAGGTGTGAACAACCTGTAACTCTGTAAGGCTGTAACCTGCCCGGCACGCCCCAGGCACTCCCGTGCTTCGGCCTGGCCGTCGTGCCTCCTCCTATATAAGCACTGCTCCAGGCTTCCTCCCGTCGTGTGCCACTGCACACTGGCTAGAGTGTCAGTGCCCCCACCTTCCTCTGGTCTTGGCAAAAGAGGGAAAAAGTAGAAGTTAGCTAGGACCTGCAAGGCATGGCTTCGCCGGCGCCGGCAGCCGACGGTGCCGTGTATGCGACCAATGGTGGCCTCACTGACCCACTTCTAGTGAGCGCGAACGGCCACGGTGCCGCCCCGAGGAAGGCTGCCTACGGCGCCAAGGGCAAGTACTGGGTGGCCGCTGACAAGGCCGAGAGGCGAGCTGCGAAGGAGGCCGGCGGTGAGGAGGGCCGCGCGCTGCTGTTCCGGAAGTATAAGGTCAAAGGCGTCCTCCTGCACCCCTACAGGTAAAGCCAACTCAGCTAAACTGAATGTGCATGGCATGAACAGAGATACCGTCCAAATATGTACTTAGTTATTTACAGTTCACTATGTAAACAGGGCACAGGCTGTATATTTTTGCTAAACGCGCATTTCCTAGTTCCTTGTTAGACTTTGCCTGCTTAGATCTTACTGGCTTAATAAATTTGCCAGCAAAATTTTCTTCAATGGACAACCGTTGACCTGAGACTCCACTGGGGGCTCATCATCTTCCAAGCACTAATAATATAGTAATATGGATTGCCAAATAGATGAAAGGATCTTGCAGGAGGATTGCTATTTCCTATTCTGGTCACATACTCACACACACACACACGATTGCACAGCTTGCATTTTGAGAACAAAGCTTGCATTTCTATGGCCTGAGAACTGACGACATGTTTTCATGTTACAGGTTGCTGATCATCATCCGATTAATCGCTGTCCTCGTCTTCTTCGCATGGCGCATCAGGCACAACAAATCTGACATCATGTGGTTTTGGACAATGTCCATAGTTGGCGATGTTTGGTTCGGCTTCTCGTGGCTCCTCAACCAGCTCCCAAAGTTCAACCCCGTCAAGACCATCCCAGACCTGGCCGCCCTCAAGCAGCACTTTGACTTCTCTGAAGGCACCTCTAGGCTCCCCGGTATTGACGTTTTCGTCACCACTGCCGACCCCATTGATGAGCCCATACTCTACACCATGAACTGTGTCCTCTCCATCCTCGCTGTTGACTACCCAGTCGACAGGCTTGCCTGCTATCTCTCAGATGATAGCGGGGCACTGATTCTCTACGAGGCATTGGTCGAGGTCGGAAAGTTCGCACCTCTGTGGGTTCCATTCTGCCGCAAGTACTCCATTGAGCCAAGGGCACCAGAAAGCTATTTTGAGCATGTGGCGCCACCGCAGGCTGGAAGGGTGACGCAGGAGTTCTTGAATGATTATAGGAGGGTGCAAATGGAGTATGATGAGTTCAAGGTGCGCTTGGACAACCTCCCTGATGCCATCCGCAAGAGATCTGATGTTTATAATAGCATGAGAGCTGCAGAAGGAGATCAAAAGGCAACTTGGATGGCAAATGGGGTTCAATGGCCCGGCACATGGATTGATCCAACAGAAAACCATAGAAAAGGACACCATGCTCCAATTGCTAAGGTACTAAATTTCAGATTAGTGGTTGTTGAAATTCTGAAAATGAGACAGTCACTTACTTCTTGCAGAGCTTTAGTCCGGGAAAATTTTTAATCTTTCTGTTGTTTGTTACAGCAATGTCACCACTGATGGTTTCGTTCCTTGTTTAACAGGTTGTGCAGGACCATCCAAGCCGTGGACAGCATCATGGTTCACAGCCCATTACTGAAAGCAATCTCAACATTGGCACCACTGATGAGCGCCTCCCAATGCTTGTTTATGTCTCTCGTGAGAAGAACCCAAGTTATGACCACAACAAGAAGGCAGGTGCCCTGAATGCACAACTGCGGGCCTCTGCTCTCCTCTCTAATGCCCAACTCATCATCAACTTTGACTGCGACCACTACATCAACAATTCTCAAGCCCTAGGTTCGGCTGTCTGCTTCATGCTAGATCAACGGGATGGTGACAACACCGCATTTGTTCAGTTCCCACAGCGCTTCGACAATGTTGACCCCACAGACCGCTATGGTAACCACAACCGTGTCTTCTTTGATGGGACCATGCTTGCCCTTAATGGTTTGCAAGGACCCTCATACCTCGGCACGGGTTGCATGTTCCGTCGCTTAGCACTCTATGGTATTGATCCACCCCACTGCAGAGCAGAAAACATCACAGCCGAAGCTAGCAGGTTTGGTAACTCCACAATCTTCCTAGATTCAGTGTCAAAAGCCCTGAGAAATGACAGGTCAATCACACCACCACCAATTGATGACACATTCCTTGCTGAATTAGAGAGGGTTGTAACATGTTCTTATGACAAAGGTACTGACTGGGGCAAGGGTGTAGGGTACATCTATGACATAGCCACTGAAGATATAGTAACTGGATTTCGCATCCACGGGCAGGGGTGGCGCTCTATGTATTGCACAATGGAGCATGACGCGTTCTGTGGCGTTGCACCAATCAACCTAACTGAACGCCTCCATCAAATTGTGCGATGGTCTGGTGGGTCTTTAGAGATGTTCTTCTCCCACAACAACCCATTCATAGGTGGTCACCGGATTCAACCCCTTCAGCGTGTCTCCTACCTCAACATGACAGTCTACCCAGTCACATCAGTCTTCATCCTGATCTATGCTCTAAGCCCGGTGATGTGGCTTATCCCTGATGAAGTATACATCCAGAGACCATTCACTAGGTATGTCGTGTACCTTCTCGTAATCATAGTGATGATTCACATGATTGGCTGGCTTGAGATAAAGTGGGCGGGGGTCACATGGCTGGACTATTGGCGCAATGAGCAGTTCTTTATGATCGGCTCAACAAGTGCATATCCAATGGCAGTGCTTCACATGGCAGTGAACCTCCTCACAAAGAAGGGCATACACTTCAGGGTCACTTCCAAGCAAACAGCCGCAGATGACAATGACAAGTTTGCTGACTTGTATGATTTTCGATGGGTGCCAATGCTCATCCCAACAATGGCAGTTCTGATCTGCAATGTTGGTGCCATTGGTGTAGCTCTGGGCAAAACAGTGGTATACATTGGAACATGGACAGCGGCAAAGAAGATGCATGCAGCATTGGGTCTGTTGTTCAACATATGGATCATGTTTCTCCTCTACCCATTTGCACTAGCGATCATGGGGCGGTGGGCGAAGAGGCCAATCATCCTTGTAGTCTTGCTGCCGGTTGTCTTTGCACTTGTTGCGCTGTTGTATGTAGGTGTCCATATCTTACTTGCTGGTGTAATTCTATTCTAGGTGGTATAGAAAACATTGTAATTTCTTGTGTAGTTACCAAGGAACCAATTATGTTCCTTTGTATCAAATAAATGTTGTATTCTTACATCGTAATAATACAGAATAATCCTAACTAAATTCAGTCCACTTGGATTTTGGCCCCATACAACCTATTTCAGCTGTGCAACAATGACTAAGGATAAAAGTACAATTTCGCTATTGATGTTAGGGTTATTGATGTTAGGCTTTAATTTCCCTACCACCAATGACTTCTGATACGATTGGAAATGCATAATATCTTACTGGTCCTAATTCAGCCCTACTATTATCCTAGTATTCAGCTTTTAACAACACACTTTTATTCACAGCCTGCCTAAAGTAAGCCCTGTATATCCCAGGTAATGCCAAGGATGCATGGCACACAGACTTCTAGGCTCATACAGCAAGGCAGAGTGAACACACGGATAAAGCACCAGGTATCTAGAATTGCTCTGTACCAAACTAGAGAATGATCTCCAAAATAGAGGACAAGAAACCAATGCAAATATTGCAAAAATCTAAGGCAACAAACCACAGGGCCTCTGAATCTAACGTTCTAGTGGGGAAAACGTCCGACCGGTTTCTCACAGGCATTTGATCGAACACTTGAAGGTTACAGCACGGAACAGCAGGACCCCACCCAAACCAAACAATTGATTTCGTCAAAGTAGAGGCAGAGGGTACGGAGGCTTACTTGTGAGCAGGGGAAGGTGAAGGTCGAGGGACACGAGCTGGCTAGGGAAATGGAAGACAGCGGCAGCGGCGGCGTTGCCAGAGACGATTCAGACCATAGGGACCCCGCCCCCGCGATGCTGCTGGAACCCGCCCCCGCCGCCCCGATGCAGCCCCAGATCCTCCGCCACGGCGAGCCCATCCTGCAGATCCACCCCATCCCAGTCACCCCCAACAGCTCCGCCGTGTCTCCGTACAGCGACGAATCTGAGAGCAGGCCCGCTTCGGGAGATCGAAGCGCACCTCCAGTTGAGACCCCACCGTCGCCGCCACCGATCCACACACGCCAGCCGGCGCTGGATGACGACCTGCTGATCCCAGCCACGCCGGATTCTGGCATCCTGCAGCCCTCCTACGCGGACATCGTCAAGCGGCACAACTCTACAGTTATGAAGGCGCACCTACACCGTCAACCAACGGCTCGCACCCTACAGTCCGCCATTACTACGCCGAGGGGATGCACTTACTACGGGCGTGCCTTGCCGACGAAACCGTCTCGCTGGCTCCGCACGGACGGCGCTCCCGAGGCCGCCATGACGACCCGTCACCTGGCGCCATGCCTTGCGCGCCGCCGCAGCCTACTTCCCCTACAACGCGCTTTTCAATTCGGTGAAGCAGTGGGTTCGAGGCCGGGGTGAAGCAATCGGTGGCGCAAGCCGCAACAAGGGTCAACTCATCGAAGCCTGCAACGCCACAGTAGTCAAATCGTGCATCACATCCTCTTCGTGGCCAGTGCCGCTTTGAGGCTGCAATTACATCGCTGCGCTCCGCGCTTTTTCCCTCAAAACCGAAGGAAAGTGCTTCAAGTGCCTCTCCTCTGACCACCGTGCCGCATCCTGCCGAGACCCCATCCGCTGCTTCCGCTGTCTTGGGCTTGGCCATAGAGAGAGATTGCAGGCGATTTGGCACCCAACGCTCAAGCACAGCTGCGCGGCGCGCCTGCAAGGAGGACCTACCCCCGCCGCCATCGCCGCCGCGCGTGGGACAAGCTGCTATGGCGAGACTCGGAGACCCAGAGACGAGGCCTGATGAGGACGAATGCCTCATCCCAACCTCATTTGCCACTGAGGCAAGCCGGCGAGAGTGGGAGGAAACTGCTGCTGTCTCCTGGGCCATGTCCGGGCCACCCAACACCGGTCCCAGGGAGGTGGAGGCGGCCATCCGTGACGAGTTCCGCCTCCGGCAAGGCGAGGTGGTCGCCACCAGGCATCACCCTCAGGCGTTCCTCATCAAGTTCCATCATCGTCATCATTGCAGCAGGGCCCTACAGCAGGGCTTCGCCAAGCGCCACGGCATCGACATTCACTTCGTCAAGTGGCGCAGCCTCGCCAACTGCCTAGGTGTGTCACTCCTCTTCCGTGTCAAGCTCTGCCTCGATGGTGTGTCCAGACATGCACGGATGATGGCGTCGTTGAGCGCATCATTGGGAGACGCCAGTGCACTGGAGTCCATCGACACCGACCGCTCCCACCCAAATGAGACAAAACCATTGATCTCTGGGCACGACAAATGAACCCGAGCCTAATCCCCAAGAAAATTTGGCTCACCTTCACCAACCGCGCCAAAGATGCCAAGCTTGATCCAATCCTCAGTGGATCGAGACGCCACGAAGCACCGGCAACAAGGCACCGGACATCTTTGTCATCATCCACCGGAAGAAATCCACGACTACACCGCCTCCACCATCGACGACAAAGGCAACATCTCCCGGTAAAAGACGCCTCCCTAAATGGCACCTGGTGTTGTTGTTGACGGAGCGCAGAGTTCTGCTCGTGCTTTTGAGGAGTTCCCACACCACCCACCACCACCTAGGCGCGCCGACAAGGAGGAGCCAGCGCACTGTGTGGCTCGACAAAGAGAGTCCTCTAAGGGGACAAAGGCGCTACAACAACGACCACCCCGACTTCTACAAGGGCCGTGGCAAGCGCCACGACGACGACGACGACGACTACGACACTTATGGCCGGGGTGGGCGAGATGACCCTGGCAGGTATGGCGGGGTGATCACAGCGGTGCTGGTGGCTACCGTGAACGCGACCGCTCCCCTCCACGTCGCCTCTGGGCACATGGCAGCAGGCATGGAGGTCGACAAAGGGCTCCCGACGCCCTCGAGCATGCTGTGGTGCAACCAACTGAGCTCCTGCTGCCGGCTAAGCTTCCTCAAGTAAGTGTCTTGCGGTGACTGAAGAGGCTGAGCTGCAGCGCCTCTTCAAAGCCCACGCCATGGCCCTCAAGGTGCTATGCAGCGCAGATCGTGGACCGGGCGGGCGTCCAGCACACCGGAGAGATGGCCTCCTCGCTGAAGTCTCTCATGCAAGACTACATCGACAAAGCTTCGGCGCTAGCTGAGGGGCTTGGGCTGCTTCAAGGCCCCCCAGAAGCTGCTAGGCTGGACCTGCACGAGGCAGGGAATGAAGCCCGGTCCAAGCGCCCCCCCCCCAGCCAGGTCCGACAGGCCGAGCTCTTCACGCCACGGTCCCAGTGCGTGACATCTTCGACCGCATCCTCAACACGCTCCCACCGAATGCAGCAGTGGAAGCAGTGGAAGACAACTCCATTGCTGCGGTCGAGAAAGCATTGGCCCGCATCGAGCTCGCTGCAGTGGAGAGCCCCACAATTCAGGGTGACGATGGTGTAGCGACACTCTTCAAAGAAGCCGATGGCGCCATCGCTCCAACAACCACAAAGACGCAACCGCATTACGCCAACACCGGCCTCTGGCGGGGCTAGGCGCCGCAGACACCAGCGTGCCTTCGACATGTCTGCGGTACGGCGAAGTGCTCGCCTGGCCAATGCTCGCCCCATGTCCCAGATGCAGCGTGCTCAGAGAAACCTTTGCCGAAAACTTGGTCTCCCCGCGATGATGATCTTGAACTGTGGAAACCGCTTTGGGACTACATCGCCATGTTCAATGGCCCACCGCCGACGGACATCATTGCTGCTACCGACGGAGATGTTCAACCTGGGCACCGAAGAGCCAAATGAAGTTGATGATGCGCTGCTTCGCATGGTGGGCGAGGGAGTCGAAGAACTCCGCGACGCAGCCATCCTGACTGCAGCAGCCTGACGGTCATTGCAGACTGCACAACTTGCGTCCTAACGCTTAATATGTATCAAGCTACATTGTATCAGAATTTGTACCAGTACTTCGCACATTCCACCGTCGTCGTTCACGCTGTAGGCCTGATTGCAGACTTGTCGGGCCACCATGATTTGTGTACGCCGAAGACTATTTTTAGTATGCTTCAACTTTGCTTCTCAACCACGGGTGATGCGTCCAGAGTTGTTTTATTGCTCCTGAATGCCTGGAGATGTAGATCAGTCTTCGGCGATCCTTCTCCAATCCTACGAATGTTCCTGCAGGCGGCCATCATGCACCAATTTGAGGATTTCGCCACCTCTCCATGAGTGCACACAGCATTGATCTCTTGTCCTGGAATGTTCGAGGCCTAAATCAGCAAGCTCGAAGAGACACCGTCCACCAATTAATAGCAGCGACGTCATGCAACATTGCATGCCTACAAGAAACCAAGCTATCCCAAATCTGTCAATATGATGCTTCGTACCTTGGTGGCCATCGCCTGAGTCAGTTTGCTTACAAGCCGGCATCAGGGCCTTCTCAAACGCGTGGGGGCATCATCATACTATGGAACGAATGTCGTGTAAGCTGCACTGACATCACCATCGGAGAATTCCACGTCTCGGCGAAAGTTCAAATTAAAAACTTCGGACGCCAACTTCACCTTACGGTGGTGTACGGACCATCGCGATTGCAAAGTCGCATACAAGCTACGCTTTCTTGATGAATTAAAAGCGCTAAAGCCGGCGCCAAGCATGCGGTGGCTCATCACGCGGCGATTTCAACCTCATCTATAGAGTCACGACAAAAACAACATGAACCTAAGCCCACGCCTAATGCGCCACTTCCGTGAGGCGCTAGATGAGCGTGATCTGTCTAAAATTAGCCTTCAGAACAGGAAATTCACTTGGAGCAATGAGAGGCAACGACCCACAATGTCAAGACTCGACCGCTTTTTCATGTAACGCAGAATGGGGCCGCTACCTTCAAAGAACCACATCCTCGAATGCGTTTTCAACATCGCTCTCCCACCATTGCCCTCTGCGCTATCCAACCAATCGGGACCTAGAAGGCCAAGTTTGTTCAAGTTTGAAAATTATTGGGTCAAACTCCTAGGATTTAAAGATGTAGTCCCAGATCGCATGGGATACTACAACGGACCACCATGAGC